ATGCAGCTGAGACAGCAGCTACTCCGTGCGGACCCTGCAGTGGAGCCACACCTGGCCCCGTGGGAGCCGCCCCGTGTCCCCAGGGCTCCGTGAGCCCCGCCGCTGCCTCCGCACACGAGGCTCAAAGTGACACCCGGGTCCCCAACTGTCCGCGTCTGGACCAGAGGCCTCTGGGCCCCCAGGTTTGTTTCCTGAAAATCACGTGTAAGGGGCGGGGGAGGGGGGGCGCTCAGTGCCAGAGCATCGACATGTGAACCAGGAGGTCAGGGTTCGATTCCCGGTCAGGACACAGGCCCGGGTTGTGGGCTCCGTCCCCAGTGGGGGGCGTGCAGGAGGCCGCTGATCCATGATTCTCTCTCATCATGGATGTTTCTATTTCTCGCTCCCTCTCCCTGCCTCTCTCTACAAAAATCAAATACGTATTTTTTTTCAATGCTATGCGATGCTATAAGTTTTTTTTTAAAAAATGTGTGTAAGTGACAGGTTTCTAAAACATCGGCAACTAAACGCGAATAGTCCCGGGAGCAATGATGTCCTTGTTCAAACCCCTAACCTCCGCTTCTCCAACCGGACACGGCTGTCCGCCATCGGGGTCACGTCCTCAGACAGAGACACGTGCAACGTCCTCTGGAAAATTAACATTTACCGGTGCACGGGGATCCCTGGCAGCATCCACCAGACGGTCTTTTCTTTAAGAATGTTTTCCGCCTGCAGTTCACACCCCACGTCGCTCAGGTGGACGGTGTCCCGTTGGACAATCGTCTATTTTACGAAGTGGTCCCCCCACCCCCCCGTATTTCCAGCTCCCACCCGGCACCAACCAGCCGGGACGGAGCCTGCCACCGAGTGCGAGGACCCTTCAGTCTGTGGGCTGGCGGTTCTAACCACTGAGCCCCGGGCAGGGGGGTAGCTTATGTCTTAATGTGAGAAAATACAACGCGTCCGTCCTGTGAGCTGCTGTTCAGGCCTCTCAGCCGTCACACTCGCTCACAAACGCCCCCATCCCTGTCTCTACAAGATAAGAATTCTCCCCCAAATATACTTAGAACTTCTTACCTTGGCCCTGGACGTAGATCTTGCCCTTCGCCTGTGGCTTTTGAAAGGAGGGAGGAAAGAAAAGGAAAACAAGTAAATTCATGGGTCATGACAACAGCTATTTAGAAATGAGACAAAGGCTGTAAAAACAACGAAATCCCCTTGGAAACACGGGGGTGGGGCAGCATGGGGGACGCTCGCGGGGCAGCCCCTCACACCAGCAAAGAGCTGCCCCCACCCAAGGGCAGGAGAGCCCACTCAACACAGCGCCCTCGGGAGGCAGCCCCGGGAGGAGTCCCTGCGATGAGGCGGGACAGGAGTCTGAGCTTCGCGGTGACTGGGTCAGCGGGGAACTACCGCAGCTCCAACCAGCGCGGCCAGTGACAGAGCACGTGGTGCGTGTTCTGCGCTGAAGCTGGGGATGGGGGCGCGTTGGGGGAAACGTGGTTTGGGGGTGCACATCCTTGAACAGAAAGAATACAAGATGGAGGAGGAGATGGAGGAGGAGATGGAGATGGAGGAGGAGATGGAGATGGAGGAGGAGATGGAGGAGGAGATGGAGGAGGAGATGGAGATGGAGGAGGAGATGGAGATGGAGGAGGAGATGGAGGAGGAGATGGAGGAGGAGATGGAGATGGAGGAGGAGATGGAGATGGAGGAGGAGATGGAGGAGGAGATGGAGGAGGAGATGGAGATGGAGGAGGAGATGGAGATGGAGGAGGAGATGGAGATGGAGGAGGAGATGGAGATGGAGGAGGAGATGGGGGAGCAGATGGAGATGGAGAGAACACAATGTGTTGGAGACAGAAAACAGGCACCAGGGCCGGTTCTCCCAGGAGGGAGGGCTGTTGAGGGCGCTGCGAGGACCACCCGAAAGCCCGGGGCCGCAGGGGAGGGCGGCGCTTGCAGGAAGGACCCAGATACTGACACCGAAGACACTGCTCTCCCACCCCGCTCCCGGGAACGCCCCAAACCACCGGGGAGAGACTCCATGTCCGGGTCTTGCTGGCGGAGTGGCCCAGACCCTTTAAAATCCAGGTCAGAGCGCTGGCCGGTCCAGTTCAGTGGGTAGACCACCAGCCTGTGGACCAAAGCGCCCTGGTGGGGCGCGTGCAGGGGGCAGCCCATCCATGCGTCTCTCTCACAGCGACGTCTCTCTCTGTCTCTCCCCCTCCCCTCCCCTCGCTCTAAAAACCCACAGAAAAATATCCTCTGATTCCCTCCCTCCTCGGATTCTGCAACTTCCAGGGCACAACCGACATCACAGCACGAAACACCCAGACACGCACCCACTGCAGGCACGCGGCCGCCCTCATGGACTCGGTGAAAGCCACGGCGAACCTGGGGAGAGAACGGAGAGGAGGCCGTCAGGGAAGATTCCGCGAGCAGCCCTGGCGACCGGCTGTGAGCTGCGGCAGGAAGCCCAGCCGAGGGCGCAATCCATCCGCTCTCGCCTCTGCTGGCGTCGCAAACATTGGAACCCGCGAGGAATGAACGCACGAGGCTCAAACCTTCCCATGTCTTTATTTTTTAAAGTGTGTGTTTCTCTTGATTTCAGAGAAGAAGGGAGAGGGATAGAGAGAGAGAAACATCCATGAGAGAGAATCATGGATCGGCTGCCTCCTGCACGCCCCCTACTGGGTATCAAGCCCGCAACCCGGGCCTGTGCCCTGACGGGGAATCGAACCTGGGACCTTTCAGTCTGCAGGCCAGTGCTCTATCTACTGAACCAAACCAGCTAGGGCTTAACTCAATTTCTTGATACTCCAGTTCTCGTAAAAACAATTTTAAATATAATAAAAACATGGGCTGGCTTTATTTTATATTTTTTAACCTCAGGATCATGTGTGTGTGTATCTCTATTTTGTGTTTAGTTAGGGTAATTTTTGGTTAATAATAATAATAAAAAATCCACTGAGCAACACCAGCCAGGACCAACACTGATGTGTACTGAGTGACAGTCTTTCCGGGGGCAGGGCCAGGGACGGATGAACCGGGAACCCCTAAGGGTGCTGGGCAATAAGAAGGGCCTAAAACCGTGGTCGGCAAACCGCGGCTCGCAAGCCACGTGCGGCTCTTTAGCCCCTTGAGTGTGGCTCTTCCAAAAAATACCACGTGCGGGTGCACGTACAGCGCGATTGAAACTTCATGGCCCATGCGCAGAAGTCGGTATTTTGTGGAAGAGCCACACTCAAGGGGCCAAAGAGCCGCATGTGGCTCACGAGCCGCGGTTTGCCGACCACTGGGCTAAAAGAATGGCCACGTGGAAGGACACAGCGTGGACTCCGAGCTTCTCCAGTGGCCACGGCAGGGACCACCTGAGCCGAAACGCAGAGCCATCAGTCACCGGGAGGCAGCCCATTAGGGTGAGATGGCAGACACACCCGCGGGCCGGGCTGACAGCAGTCACGGAACCAGGCAGTGGGGTCGCACGGACAGCGCCCCCGGGAGCGGAGTCCTGATGAGTGAGAGCAGGAGCAAGGGTGTCCAGCGTGGGAATAACACCGAGGGCTGATCCTCCCCAAGAGGGGACCGGAGGGGCGGGTCTCTTTCCTGCAGGGGCACCTGCTCCCTGCCCGTGTTTTCAGAGAGAGGAAGGGAGGGGGAGGGAGAGGGGCGGGGAGAGAAGCATCCATGAGGAGGGAGAGTCACGGATCGGCCGCCTCCCGCACGCCCCACACTGGGGATGGAGGCCATAGCCCCGGCCTGTGCCCTGATGGGAATCGAACCCTGACCTCCTGGTTCATAGGTCGACGCTCAACCACAGAGCCACCCGGCCGGGCCCAGACACCCTTATAAGCGGGTTCCCAGCCTGAGGCGCAGGGGGGTGAGGACACGTAACGTCACCAGTTTCTTACGGGAAATTCAGACCCGGGGAGAACTGCCGGGTGGAAGCCCACGGCCTCACTCTGACCGGCGGTGCCCGGACTGCCCTCCGCTCCTTTGCTTGGCAAGGTCACCTTTTCCTGCCAGGAGCCCTCACTGGACGGTTCCACACCTTTACACACCCCCGGTGAATGCAGTGTCGTGACCACACACTCGCTACAGAATCATGCTTTTGAGACAAAAACCTCAGAGGCTGAGCGTCGACCTAGGAACCAGGAGATCACGGTTCTACGGTTCGATTCCCGGTCAGGGCACAGCCCGGGTTGTGGGCTCCACCCCCAGTGTGGGGCGTGCAGGAGGCAGCCGATCCACAGTTCTCTCTCACCATGGATGTTCCTCTCTCTCCCTCTCCCTTCCTCTCTGACATCCATACAAATATCTTTTGTAAAAAAGTGTCAAATGAAAGAAAGAGGCGGCTTCATAGGGAAGACGTACCCCCGCCCCCTCCCCCCATCGGCTTCCCCGTCTCCTCCCTCCACCAGCTCCACCCACCGGGGCGGCACGCACCTGGCTTCCTCCAGGACCTTCCCCATCACCAGGTGCTTGTCTCCCTGGTGCACGTCTTCATTCAGGTCCGTGCCGCCGAAGACCACGCCGAAGGGGATGCCGTGGCCTGCGGAGGAGGACAGGTGAGGAGGGGGCGCAGCTGGGCACCAGCCCTCCCCACCCCGGCCCGAGGCAACGACCAGAAACCCAGGTTCCTGGAACACGGGACCGGAGTCATGGTTAGTTTTATTTTTATTTTATTTTTTAAAAAATATTTTTATTGATTTCAGAGAGGAGGGGAGAGGGAGAGAGAGAGAGAAATATCAATGATGAGAGAGAATTACGGATCGGCTGCCTCCTGCACGCCCCCCACTGGGGATGGAGCCCACA